AAAAAAAAAAAAAAAGAAAAGGAAGAAAAAAACCGAAGTGCCGCGTGTACGTGTAATTTATTGCGCCTAGACGGAAATTGTCGCAGCCGTGGGATAACGATCACGCTAAGACTGTAATTGCCGCTTCTCGGAACAAGAAAGCGCGTTGCAAACGGATAACGAGTGTTTGCGAATGGGAGGCAATTAGGGAGGAAAGCGTTGTCTGGCCGAGAAGAGCCGACGGTGGAGGAACGCCTTTCTCTTTGCCCTGGATATTACGCGCCAATATGATTAACCATACCGTCACGTCAGTCGATGAATGCCGCAACGCGAGTTGCGTGTTTGCGGAGTAACAATGCCTCGCTGAATCGAACCGAGTTTACGTAAGTCAGACGGGAACGTTCAGTTAGGGCCAAGAGCAAGTCTGCTCGCCAACGAGAATCGTATCGATTAACCGGCCATCGAAATGCAAAACGACTCGTTGCACGAGATAATTGGCGCGTCGTGGCCGAATAGGCATTTAGATCGTTGAAATATCGAGTCGTAAAGGCAAATGGTACTTTTACGGGCGGGGTACATCGTAATAAACGCGAACGTAAAGTCTCATCGTCGCGTTTCCCGGTTTCGCGGTTTACGCTACGCGATATCATCGCGGCTCGCGATAAATTTTAATTTTAGGACGTTTCAAAGTGAAAAGCAGAAAGTAGAAGAGAAAAAAAGAAGCAAAGCAGAGGAGGAGGAGACAAGTGCAAGGAAGTTTACCAACCTTGATGCGTCGACAGGGTTGTTCCGGTTGAGGCCGATCACCTCGATTAGCCTTCTCGAGCACTTTTGTTGTCGAACAAAAATAAAGACACTAGAGACTGATCGCACAGCTGGTCGTAAACCGACACGATTGACGTTCGACGTTCACTTGATGACGGCCCACCGAACGAACGAACGGAGTCACCGATGGATTTCGCCGATGTTGCGACGACGAGAGCGCGACGTGTCCGCCGGACCGGAGGATCGTCGCTGAGCGGAAAGCATGGACGCGTATGGAAAACGAGGCGAACAGGGGAGAAAAAAGAAAAAGAGAAGAAATAGGAAAAGATCGACGACGCGCACTGTGAAAACGGGCTTTGCTCGACTCGCTTGGAAGAAGCGAGAGGCGTACGCTGCGGCTGCGCGAACCGATGTGTGGGGCCGTTTCCTCGGTCGGATAGCTGGCTGGCAAGGTAACTTCCCCCACTGTCAAACGGTCGTTGCGTCGGTGCTGGTGCACGTCCACCTTGCCGCGGGGTCGTTGGGTGAACCAGTCGTTTTGAAACGCCCGCCTTCGAATCGCGACCCGCCTCGGCTCTGCTCTGCGCAGCCAATCCTAAACCCGTTCACCGGCTCCAATCGACAACGTTCCATGGCTACGCCTTCTCCTCTCCTCTCTTTTCACCTTTCTCTCTCTCCGTTTTCTCCTCTTTCCGCTGTGCGTGCTCTTCACCATCTCCCCTGCAACTCGTTCCTCTCTTACCATCGTGTCCGCGGGACCGAATCTCGCCCAAAGGTAACACAGTCGCCGACCAAACGGAGATTACTCCGAGCTCCATTTAAAATGGCAACTCGACCGTTTCCTCTTCCCCGTCGCTCCAACACGTTTCCAACCCGCGCGCGCCGAAACGAGAGTCGAAGAGAGAGCGAATTTTCCCTCGTCCGATCTCTGATATCGATATTCCGAGTGGCTCAACAGATGATTCGTTTCTCTCGATTGGATCTCTGAAATCTTGATTTCGTACGATCTGGTTGATATCTGTGCTGTTCCGATCCAATGAATCTATCTTTGCTCTGATAAATTGACTCATTAACAGCTACGTGGCAGGTATCGCTTATCGGATACCGATCATCTCCGATGGAGGTGAAAGTTGGTACGAGCGATCGTCGCTGCATATTGCACGTCTGTTCCTCGCTCTATCTCGTTAAACAATTTATCGGCGATTCGCGTTATCAGAAGTATGTTCAAGAGAATTATTACGTTATTCGTTTGGTCAGTTACGTCCGTTTCGAAAGTGTCCAAGTTCGTGCAACGAACACTTCGTCGAAACGAACAGAGGACTTTGGAATGTCGAAGACCGTGGAATCGGCGTGGCGCGATATCGCGATGACGCGGCGAAACGAGTTGTTGCCCGGCAAAGATCATTGACCGTTCTTGTCTCGATAATTACAGGTACCCCATGCGGCGAGCTTATCTTCAGTTTCACGGGGCACCTCCTCCATCTGAGGAGAGCTCAGCCCGCTTATCCTCCTCGAAGGAGACTACGCGTATCTGATCTCGATGATCGATTGCTGCTACCGACTCTCGAAATTACATACGGTTAACCGCGCGGCTACAAATAATTATCTCCGGGCTACTTTCGTTCCTTCTGGCGATTCACGTGATCCATCCAAGCCCGGGGATTATTGAACGCATTATCACTTAATCTCTCGTTGCAAACAATAAATTATCGCGGTTGTTTGGCAACAGAGAAGCGGAAATTGCGATTCGAATCAGCGGGTTCCCTCTCCGCTTGGCTCAATGATATTTTAATTAAAACCAGCGCGATTTCATTTCGCAATTTTGACAACCGCGCTGCCGTTCTTTCGACGTTCGGCGTGTAACCCGAATGTTGCTAAATTACAGCATCACGGCAAGCGGCGTCGATTGATACCACTGACACGTTGAACATGTTGTGCGTCGGTGTTTCTGGATACCAGCGACTGATTTCGAGCATCAAAATCTTGAAGTTTAATCGATCGATCAACTGTTGTAATTTATTATAAAACCAGGGCGACTCGACTCGAATACACATTAACTGACCAAAAGTTTCGGTACACTTTCTTTATATTTTTACTAGTTTTAGATTTCTTTGACTAGAATATTTAAAAAAAGAAACCCCCGTCGTACATCTACATAAATTGATACACATGTAACGAAATATCGAATCAGTCATGAAATACAGATGCAACAGCACTTTACTATCCAACGAATGTCAGATCAGACGAAAGAGTTTTGTGAATTTCACGGCGATCATTAAGTTAATATTATTGAGAGACTTCTCCACTGGATGCGAGTCGACGCAACGACATCACGTTGCATAGATTTGTCAAGGATCGCTTCGTGTCAGTCCTCGAATTAAAGCTTAAAATTAAATCGAGGGATTTGCTTTGTCTCTACCTTGTCGAAGGGGAGATATACATATTTGGGATTACGTATATTCGACGAGGCAAGTCTCACGGGTATCGTGCCGCGGCGTCGACGGACGATCATCGCCCATTGTGATCGTGTTTTCACGGTGTTGTTCTTGCAGTGTCTGGACATACAATGACTGAAAGGAAACGATTACGTCACGATGATGTCATTAGCAGCGACCACGCCCCCTACGGCGCTACCCCATTACGCCGAATCATCGACCGGATGAGTCCTCCAGGTTGCTACAGCTTTCTCTTTCTCTGCGAAACATCGTCCTCTCTCCTCACGGACTCCTCACCCGGTCGAGAATGGTTTCGAGGTGTAAGAAACTCCGAAGTTAATTCGAACTAGTGGACCTCCGAGCGCGAACGCGTGGGTCGTTCGCCATTAACAGTGCTTAATTAAATAAGACTTTTTCTGACTAACAAAATCTGACTCGACTTTGCTCCAATTTCGTTCGTCGTGTAGGTAAACTTTTCTGCAAAAACTTGAGTGCCTGCGCTGATATTTTACGTATAATTTCACGGACATTTGCATTTTCCTTCCTTCCTCGTCAAATCGACTCGTGTGCTCTTCACGTTTGGAATTTCCACGAAGGAGAGCAGGTCAGTCTCAACCTGAGAAAGTATCCACGTTCGAACGAAGGATCGATTGTAGCTGATATAGATATATCGAGCTACCAAAGGAGAAACCTCCTCGGTACCTTCCTCGGTACGATGAAAAAGAAGTTAGTAGCGAAGGAAGGAGCCGAGGATGACGTGGAAAATGAAAGAAAGGAGATCATTGGATCAGATCGGACGATCGATAAAGGGCCCGGGTAACAGTCATTAAGCCGACTATTGTGAGGTAGCAACACCCGTTTGATTGGTTAATCTACACCTTCGTCCTCTCTGAAACACCGTCGACGAAGGACAAAAGCCTTTGGATTTCGATCGCAGTCGTCCCGGAGCACAACTAACTAATAATGACTTAGTGCGTTGTAGCATTAAACGAACCGTTCGTTTCGGATTTACTTCTCCGCTCGATTGTAAATCAGACGAGCCACTTCCGAGCCATTTTGGTTGGGACAGATGATTTAGAAAATTCTCCACTATTTCTTGAATAACATAAATTTCAATATATCTTTGACGTATCAGAATTTGATTACTATTGAAATAGTTTTAAAAGTTAAATATATAATTACATCATAAATATTTATATAAAAGTCAAATACTTTTAAAAGTTAAATATTGCTTTTCATTATTAAAATTTATTATATAAATTATTGCTTTTCATTATTAAAATTTAGTAAAATATTGCTTTTCATTATTAAAATTTATATTATAAATGACAGATAAAAATAATTAATTCTCTGTTCTCTGGCTTTATTTTAATAGTAATAGTAATAGGAAGACTGTTAGTTAATTGCTGAAGCGATAATGCGAAAAAATCAAAATCAGAGAGAAAGGTTCATCACGACGTAATAAACTCGGAGTGATTTTTTGAGAAATTTTCCGTACTGTCTCTCCCACGTCTTGGTGGCTCGCGTAGATTTACTTTCACGAAAGAAAACAACTGCTTGATTTATTTCGAATCACCGATCCAACGAAGGACTTGCGGTCAGCTTTCGTCCAAAAAATCGCGCAGGAATCGGCGCGAATGAGCCCTGCGATCGAGCATCGAGGGTCTCGTTAAACAGCCGAAGGAAGTGTTCTGCGGTTTGCCGAAGAACGCGCCTCGTGTTCGAGCCTGTTTGTTTAGCAGGAAGAAGCATCGTGCGTAGCTGCCTCGTTCTCTGTTTTTCTTTTGCTGCTTTGCTGTCAGAGGGACAAAAATCGGCAGGGACAATTTACACGGTGGAACATTTCGTTCGCGCACGAGTCAGAAGCTCGACGAAGACACGATCGCGAATAAGTTCGAAAAGAACAAACGCCGCTGAAATAGTTGGAGGAATCCGGGGGCAAGATGAATGATGTCTAACCCGATCGACGAGGCACGTCGCGAGCGGGGAGACGCGGTTAATAGAGGAGTAAACGTGACGTTGAACCAGCGGCCGATTGTCAAATTATCGATAATATCGCTAAACCAACAAGATCATGCCGGCCGGTGTCCGCGAGGCTGATGCGAATCGGGGAACGAAACCGCAGAGTGAAGATTACGCGCGGGCCGATCGCGCGTCCGCAGCGGTCAAGAAAATATATAATATACAACGGCGAACCTTTCACACACGCGCTCCTTTGAACTTTCATTGGACTAACAGCCTACCTGCATGTTCCCTCCGCACGCACACCTCTCTCTCTCTTTCTCTCTCTCTCTCTCTCTCTCTCTCTCTCTCTCTCTCTCTCTCTCGTGTTCTTATTCTCCGGGTGGTGAACGTGCAATCCACTATTTAACCGTATCGCTGGGCGTTCAGCGCCGGCGATATAATACTCGGCTGGTCGATAGAACTGTCTGCTTGTGGTCAAACCGTTTCTAGAGGCGCAAGATGCGATTACGCTCGATTTCCGACGATCATCGCGTCCCGGCGTCGGGCATGATAACGTACCGAGAGCTGTCCAATGGAAAATGCAAATTGATGGGCGTGTTCCCGATCCCGCGGGTAATGACGATACCCAGGCGATGTGCGTGGCAGGCTAATACCGCGGCGCGTATCCCTCCGCGAAATGCGTGTTACAAAGTGTCGATAACGCTTCGTATAATACGGAGAAATGATACGCTGAACTAAGGAATTTCTTACTTTTTTACTACTATCGCCTCTCTCTTACTCTCTCTCTCTCTCTCTCTCTCTCTCTCTCTCTCTCTCTCTCTTTCTCTCTCACTTTCTCGTGGTATCGAGAGAAGGGGCGATGGGACGATTCAATAAAACCAGCGATCAGTTGGTGCGAGTCTTTTTTTCGTCGCTTCGCGCGCGCGAGTGAGAATTATCTCGTGGTTGTTTTTCCTTCTCGAAGATTCGCGCGAGATCGCAAGATCGGTAAACGAAACGCGGCACGAGAAAAAAATTGGACGAGGTCTAGACGAGGGGCGATTAGATCGGACGAATCCGGGCGTAGCATCTGAAAGGGCGATCCAATCTCATTCTACTCGGTGGTTCCCTTTCGGTTCGTCTTTCGCCCGCGTGCTCCGGCCGGATTACCCCAACCTCGAGTAACCTTTCCTCTATTCTCCGCCGGTTTTGTGATTGCCTGAGATCGTACTCCAATTTCTTCCCTCCCTTTTCGCAGGGCACGCCGAGATATCGGCTTGCAAACCGTTCGATTAATTTCGACGTTCGATTCCGCGAATCGGCGTAATACGCGCAACGTTAGGCACATTCGATCAGTGATCTCTTTTCGGCGAATTTCTACGAGTTTTATTTGTCAGAACTTTTTTTTATCAACGACAGAAACAAAGGAAAGCGAAATGCCCTTTAACCACTTGCGCTGGCAACTGATTGCGGACCATAACTAGTGACCAAATCGTACACAATAATTCATCGCTTTCTTTTTGAACTCGTCGGTATATCACTGGAAATTATTGAGAAGTAACAAATTTATTAGTTCTGCCTATTTTGTTTTACTTAAGTATACTTAAAACTGAGAAGATATCGCAATTTTGGGACGAAAAATTCTCGATTTCAGCGCTGGCAACTGATTGCGGACCATCGAACGAGTGACCAAACCGTACACAATAATTCGTCGCTTTCTTTTTGAACTCGTTGGCATATCACTGGAAATTATTGAGAAGTAACAAATTTATTAGTTCTGCCTATTTTGTTTTACATAAATATACTTAAAATTGAGAAAATATTGCAACTTTGGGATGAAAAATTCTCAATTCCAGCGCAAGTGGTTAACCTCTTGCGCTGGCAACTGATTGTGGACCATAACGAGTGACCAAATCGTACACAATAATTTGTCACTTTCTTTTTGAAGTTGTCGATATATCACTGAAAATTATTGAGGAGTAATAAATTTATTATTTGTTCTGCCTATTTTGTTTTACTTAAATATGCTTAAAATTGGAAAAATATCACAATTTTGGAACAAAACGTTCTCGACGTGCGTCATTGCCAGCACAAGAGGTTAATTACAGGCGAAAATGGAACGGCGCGGGCAGGATTTTTGTGGAAACATCGGGTCAAGCCTCGTGGTTCCTTGGGAGAGAAACCACGAGGATGGATGTGGTCGTCGGGGTGACGCGACAGGAAAGTACGCGTTCGTTTTGCGGTTCTCCGTAGGATTCTGGCCAGTCAACTTGTTTCCTCAAAAAGTAATTAAGTCGATTAAACCGCATTGTCGCTACGTGCCAGTCCCCCATCCTGGATCATTATCGCGGGCGGGGTTCGTCAAATAGTTATTAATCGACGCCGCGCACCAGAAAAGGGTCGTTGAAAACAATTTCGGGGCATTTTCGTTTCGTTCGAACCTGCCGATGGTGGCGGGATGGATTATAAATTCAAAGCGAGTGAGGAGAACGGAGGTGAGGTGGCCGCTGGTCGGTGGAGAAAAAAAAAGAAAAAAGAAAAAGAAAAGAAAAGAAAAGAATGGCCACGTCGTTTTAAGGATAATTCAGTTGAAAAGAATCTTGATTGCGATCTAATTTTGTAGACGGGAAAAAGGGGAGATGTTGAACGGCACGGTTCTTTAAACAAACACACGGTGGCTGGATCGCGTCGGATCCTTTGGCGTTCTCGACTGTGTCGTATTGGTGTGCCGGTCGGAAGACGAGCCGATGGTGACTCCGCGAATTTGCTCGGCGTCAGTACGACTCCTAGCAATTTCACGGCAGGTTAACCGCCACCGCCGATGGGACAGCGTTTTATCCACTTTATAGAGGGCAGATTACGCGCGATGCGTGTCTCGTTCTCGATTGGCCCGCGGCCACGCTTATTTCCATTTTTTAATGGAAACTCTTGTTTCAATTCTAAAAATTGTTTCTCCGTTCCTCGAGGCGGCCGTTTTCAAATTTTCCTCGAAGGAAAAAAAAGAAAAAAGAAAGAAAGAAAGAAGAATGATCGACGACGAACGTGATAAGGCGCGAGCAACCTGTGATTTCCCGCCGAAGTGCTCTCGAATTAAAAGCTAAAACTATTTCGCGATAATCGCGGCGCAAATAACTTTTACTGGCCCGGTCGAATCGATTATTCGACCTTTCGGGCAAAAATTTGCTCGATAAGACGCGCGGTCGAGTTCGATAAACAGGCGCTAAACTAAATTTCCTTGGAGCGTTTCGCGCCGTCGTTATTCGACGGCAACGTTACCGCGGCGTATCGCCGGCCGCGATAACGTTAATTATATTTTACGATTACGACACTGCATGGACACCGTCCGTTCAAAAGCTGCCGCCCGTACGGTTACTTTTTCGTATACCCACCGCTGGAAACTGCCGTTCCCTCGCATTCCGTGAAAGCCGCGCATTTAAAGCGACGAGAGGATACGACGATGGTAGCGAGGAGGACGAGTCACGATAGGGGAATAATCGGACGAGGACGAAAGACGAGAGACAGAGGGGATATCACGATCCCCGGGGTTGATTTTATTCCTCGAATCCCCACCCCAACATCTAATTCCCCAATTTGAATTTGCACGCGCATGAGCTCGAAATCAGTCAGATTCTCCGGCACACACACATACACATACACACACTCACATATCCTCGGCAATCAAACGGAAATGGAGGGCCAATCGTCGGCCCGGTCTTCCACCTAAACCACGGTCTCTCTCTCTCTCTCTCTCTCTCTCTCTCTCTCTCTCTCTCTTTCTCTCTTTCTCCGTTCCTAACCGAGGAACGATCATTTACCGGGACGTACAACTCTGTAGACAAAAATAATCAAGTGTGATTGCTCGTAATGACGGGGCTAAGCTGTCCAGCTTAACAAATGATAGTCCTCCGAGCAGAGGGCCACGAGAAAAGTAGGAATAAAGGGTGGACAGAGGAGATGGGAGTCTGGTATTCAACCCGGGGCCAGATCGGTAATCGATCCGATCCGCAACATGGAAAACACCGCAACGATGCGCGGCCGTTTCTTATTAATAGGCAGCCTCTTCTTTCTCTTTCCTTTTCTCTGTCTCTCTCTTTCTCCTCCGTCTCTCCTTCGAAATTTACTGGTCCACGTTGGAACCTTTTCGAATAGAATTCGCGCCACTCGAGCTATCCGGGTCTTGGAAATTGGAAACTTTACGCGCAA